TTTCCCAGGTATTTATCAGCACCAGAAAAGGCTCCTGGGTCTTGAGCCGGATCTCTGAAGATGGTTATCCTTGGGACTCTGTGTTCCACACTAGATTCAGCTCCATGCTCCGGAACATTCTGCCACGGGCCATTGTCAAATGGATGTTGGAGCAACAGATGAATCGGTGGTTCAATCACGAAAATTATGGTCTTCAGCCTGAAAACAAGTAGAGTCATTTTGCTTTTCTATGATTTGGTGCATCGGTAAGCTAGGTTGTCTGAAGATGACCCTCTTTACAAAGATCCATGTTGCTAACAGGGTAGGTAGTCTGAGCCACAACCTAACAGTATGTGCAGCATACGGGTTCTGCAGTGAGAATGCCAATCTTGTTCTCTGTATCTTAAAAAACATATTTCAGAAGATTACGTAGGCGTGTCAGACGCTGCTCCAAAAGCAGAATTGGGGCTTATGGGAAGAACTTTCTAGCACCAGAGTTGACCCAACTGGAGAAGGCTACTTCAAGAGACCCCAGCCTTTTTTCCAAGGGACGAGGTAGGAAGCACATAGCTCCCCATCTGAGTAGCTCAGCCAGGGTGGTGCACCCCAAGGGCTCTCCCACCGGTAGCTTTTGAGGACAGATTCCTTTCTCTTTACCAAAGGACAAATATTAGTCGATCTCAAATATATACATCATTGATATCGTAAGCACAAGCAAACATTATGGGTGTTTATTTTTCTTTCGTGGATAAGAGACTCCTTCCATTAAAAAAAAAATAGATCTTTAGATCTTAATAAACTCCAGGCAACTGCTGTACTGAGGCCTGACACAAGTGCATGTGCTGTCGCACTTTAAAAAAGGAAATGGTTCTCAGATCTACATAAAGAAAAAAATAGAACTCCAGAAATAGTTCAGTCCACCATCCCGTTACCACAAAGAGAGTCCATGGATACTCAGGATCAACCGATGTCCCCAGACCTATCTTACATGTTGACTCTCACACGGATCCCCCAGCAGGTTTCATTACTAATCAAGTGAAGTTTTCTCTTCCTTTCTTCTGATCAGGTGGGAATTAAATGAAAAGGCAAAATGAAGCTGATAACAAAAAACTCAGAAGCACCGATTGGACATGGTGCCCAGCCCTCCCGGGATTGACCGAGTGCTGGCTGTGTCTAAGCCCCGGGGAGGGGGCCTTCTCTTTTACTCCCTTCACCTACATGCTGTCCTTTCTTTATTGAAGGGAGGGATCTGGGGACTGAGAATGAAGTCAGGTTAGAGTCGAAGATACCTGAGAAACCCCTTTGTTTTCAGAGCTACCACCCCAAATGCCCAGGGGGCCCAAGGTGGCTCCGTGAAAGGTCGTCCTGAGTGTTTTCTCTGTGTGTCCCAGGTACCTCCTGAAGGAACCCATCCTCAATGATGACCTCCCGAGCCGCATACTCTACGGAGCTGTCAAGGTGAAACCCAGGGTGACGGGGCTCACCGAGACCGCTGCCATTTTTGAGGATGAGACGGTAGAAGAGGACATCGATGTCATTGTCTTCGCCACAGGATACACCTTCGCTTTCCCCTTCCTGGAAGAGTCCCTGGTCAAGGTGGAGGACGGCAGGGTCTCGCTGTATAAACACATGTTCCCCCCGCAGCTGGAGAAGGCCACCCTCGCGTGCATGGGTCTCATCCAGCCCCTGGGGTCCATCTTCCCGACCGTTGAGCTGCAGGCACGCTGGGCGACACGCGTTTTCAAAGGTGAGTGGGCAGCTTGCCCTCCTACAGCCCTGCAGAGGTGCCCACTAAAGGCTTCTCCCGGGCACGGGGGCAGCTCTCACCCTCCTGGGCAGGTGATTCCCCCCGCCTCTGGGGTTCAACTCTGCAACATTTCTGTTGACCGAGTCCAGGTCACTGGACACCTGTGCTGGGACCTGGGGGCACAGAGAGAAACCTAAACAAATCCTTTTAACACTGCACAGCAAATGCCTCGGTATAGGAACACACAAGAGCTATGGCGTGGGACAAGGGAGGGCATCTGGCCGAGGACAACTTCCTGGGTGGCTGCTGTTCTAGGGCAGAAAAGGAACCCCCTGAGAACGCACAAAGGTCCATGCACCTGGCGAGCTGCCAGCTCCTCGGCATTCCCAGAGCGCGGGGGTGAGGGGGAGAGGCATGGGAGCAACCTTGGGGAAGGTGACGGGACAGGAAGCAAAACTGCACCATGCGGAGGGTCTTGGATTGCAACGTGTAAATTGGTTCTTCCCAAATCTGGCTGCACCTAAAATTGTCTGGTGTACACTTCTGGACCCTTACTGATTAAGTGTGGCCTGCGATTAAGCCTTAGAAAGCTCTTCAGCCAGAGACAAGTGGAGAGGTATAAGCAAGGAACAGGACAATGCTGTATTATTAGTTACCTGTGTGTTCTATAGCTGATCTCCTGAGCTTTTTCATCTTTCATTTTGAAAGAGTCTGACCACTCTCCATTCCCTCCCACTCTCAGCCCCTGCCAACTGCCCTTCTCTCTGCTTCTATGAATTCAACTATGTTAGATAGTTTATGTGAGTAGAATCATGCTGTGTCTGTGTGCGACTAGCCGATTTTGCATAGTATAATCTTCTCCCAGCTCATCCATCTCCTACTTAAGGCAGAATTTCCTTTTTTCAGGCTTAATAATGTTCTATGGTGTGTATATTTCACATTTTCTTTAACCATTCATCTGTTGATGGGCATTTGTTCACCATATTTAGCTATTGTGAACAATGCTACAAGGACGGGGAGAGTGGAGGTGTGAGACCCTGGTTTCAGTTTTCTTGCATGTACACCCCAAAATGAGATTGGTGCATCATATACCATCATACTTTTGATTTTTTGAGGACTTTTCACACTGTTTTCCGTAATAACACACCATTTTGTATTCCTACCAAGAGCATGGCCATCTTCTCGTCCTTCCTGGTGTGCATAGCTTTGTTTATGATAATAGCTATCCTGTCAGGTGTGGGGTGATAAATCCTTGTGGTTTTAATTGCATTACCTAACAATTAGTGGTGTTGAACACCTTTACCTCTTGGTCATTTGTGTGTTTTATTTGGAGAATGTTA